ACATTAACCAGGGGTCAATTTAGAGGAGCAGTGTATTGCAGGTTGCCTTTCCGTCACTGTGACAAAATACCTGAGATAATCAATTAAGGAGAAAAACTTATGTGGGCTCAGGATTTCAGAAGTTTCAGCCCGTGCTGGCTTGGCTGTGTTGCTTTGGTCCTGTGGTGGCAAAGCACATCATGGAAGGAGCACACGGTAGAAGAGGTATACCTCATGCTGGCAGGGGTCAGGCAGAAACAAAGATCCCAATGTCTCCTTCAAGCACAGGACGCCAGTGGTCTATCTTTTGCTAGGTTCCACCTATTCAATGTTCTCCCAGTGGCACAATGCTCTCAAGGCCAATATTTTGGAGACATGCTTTCTTTTATTTTAAAGAGAATCGTAAAAAAAAAAAAAAAAAAAAAAAAAAATAAAAACAAAACAAAGCAAGGACATTAAAAATGGTACAGGGTTTCAAACCAAATGATAGGGATTAACAGTAGTTGTTATATTGCATATTGTTATCTTCAAGAAAGTTGCTCAGATTACCAGATGTAAGAATGGAAGATTGATCAAACCATTAAAGGGAATAAGAAAATAATAATTTAAAAGAACATTAGAGACAATACGGAGTTTCACTAGACAGGATGGTAGGAATTCACCAATTGTTGCTATACTGCAAATTGTTGTCTTCACATAAGTTGCTCAGATTACCAAAAATAAGCATGCAAAATTGGTCAAAATATATAAAATGTATAAAAGAATTTAAGCATCAACTGTTCCCCTCAATAAACCATCAGTTATCAGCAGTACAGTTATGTCAGCTATCTATCTATCTATCTATAAAATGCCTCAGTATTTTCTTTTTCTTCTTTCCCTCATCCCAGTTGTTCCTTCCTTTAAACAAGTTCTTTCCCTTTCATATTTTTTATTGTACACTTTGGGTTTTATTTATTCTTTCGTGTTCTTACACTAGGGAGACAATACAATGTGGCTTTGATTTATTTCATTTATGAGTATGGTCTCTAGCTGCATCCATTTACCTATAAAAGCCTTGATTTTATCTTTTTTTTATAGCTGAGTAATACTCCATTGGCGGAGGAAATACCATGATCATGAAAACATGCTTTTTTGGGTGACAAGGCAGATCTAAATTTTAATTTGTGAAGAAAATCAACAAGCGTTGAAAGGAAGCATTACTTATATTTTGTTTAGGGTTGGCTCTGCAAAGGGTGGGTTGATTTTATGTTTATTCTTCCACTACACTTTACAAATGTATGTCATATTTGAGTGTTACAGGAAACAAATGACTTACAACTTGCTATTCCTGGGCAATGCAAGTTACTTTGTTCTAGTATGTGGTACTGTGTAGCAGAGGCTTTGAAATGTACTCATTTTTCATGCTTTGCTGAAGTAACAACATTTCTGATGGCTGCTTATACAAAGAAAACAAAGTACAAGAAAGCAAAGTGCATATGCATTTGAGTTAAACCTTAATTTATCCCAACCTCTCTTCTCCTGAACTTTCTCATCATTCCTACACTCGTCTGGTTCCCAGTCTTGTCTCTGCCTCTTCTGTCTGCCTCATTCTCTCCAGAGACTCATGGCTAGCTGATGTTCTCGCCTTCTGTTTTACCTCTTGCTAGAGCCATAGTTGATTCTCTGAAGAGTGGTCTAATAATATTTCAACTTGTTTTTGGAGCCAGCCCCACAAATCCCCAAGCTAGATTACTATTTCTATTTTCCAATTCTAGACATAATGCTCTTCCACTAAAATGTTTTACTTTTTGTTGCCTTGTAGAATAAGTATAAACTCTCCAAATTGATATAAGTTATTCTCTACCATGGGAAATAATGTTTAACAGGGTTTCCCTCACTATTTCCCTATAGTCATATGTATAGCATATACAATGTGATAGTAACATTTTTTAAAAATGAGGGGTTTTATGTTTAGTCCAAACTTGATTATTTATTGCTACCTTTGTAATACTATATGTACTAATATCTCCATTTCTTTTGCTCAAGATATAGGATGTACCTATATCACAAAATGTTTCTAAATTAACTAGAAGATGTGCTGCCTCCCTAATTCCCTCTGTCATATTCCACTGAGCTTCCAAAACTCCATCACAAAGACATTGCAGTTGTGTTATTCTGGAAAAACTTCCTTGTTCTTACATCCATGTGTCTCCTAGCTGTCCTTTGAGTCACTTTGGTACTTTATTTAGCAACACCTATTATACTGACCTTTTCTATCAGTTAAGCATAGTGATTTGCATATTCATGTGTCCTCTCTCACAACTTCAGAACAAACTCCCGGGAAACAGTTTTTTTTTTTTTCCTCTCTCTTTTAGTCCTTGTAGCTCCTATGTTATGTGAGCTCCTAACCTATGAGGTTAGTGAATTTCTAGGGTGGGTTTGACACCATTGCTGTCATTCTTCCTTTGGTAGGACCATCTATTCAAATTTAATTTTATATGAAAAAAGAAAAAAAATTACAGTCACTCTGGTTGGAAAAGGAGTGATTGTTATATTCTCAAGGATCCTCTTGCCTGCTACCCCTTGCTGACTCTACAGAACTCCCATGGCTCCTTTAGTCTTGTCTGAAAACTAAAGCATTCAGTTTATATGTCACAGTCAAGGAGAGGTCCTTTATTATAACCACCCCTTGGTGGTTTACCAGAAGTCTTAAATTTGTATTTGGAATAAATACTTTATAAGAGTGGGATACATGGGGTTGCAGGTGGGATAACGGTGAACTTATATTTCATTCAAATGCATTGTCATTTGTTGCCAAATTTTGCCCCTGGTAAATACCATCCTCTCTGTTGGAAATATCTAGAAACTGACAAAAAGGAAGTTAAGTGGGAAACATAATAGCATTAGATGTTTCAACAATAAGTAACCCAGAACTGAAGCATATATAGCTTGTCTGCCTTTTAAAAGAAAAGAGTTGCAATACAAGGCAAAGATGACATTTTACAGGCATTCATAGCAAGAAGAGGGGTAGATTGTTTTGGGGCAGAAGATTCTGTGTTCTAAAAGGTTTGGGTCATCATAGTTAGAGACAGGGAAGATTCAGATAAAATAACGATAAGGGAAGAGAATGGCTTTGCTGGGAAAATTTCCTATAATTATGGGAAAGGATTTCTAGTTTTTGAAAAAGAGTTTAAAAATTGCCTTGAATTCTGATGTACAGAAGTGCCAAGTTCTCCTTATCTGTAGATGTATAGAAACTCAACTGTTAAGGACAAAAAATGTTCTCAATACAAATGAAAATCTCAAAAAGGAAAGAGAGAATACAAAGGAGAGTGATTTTAGTGATAATTGGTTTCAGGGAATTATTATTGAGTCAGATTTGGGTCCTGCCCTTCAGGGAAGCATCTAATCCTTTATTTAGAACACTCCTTTCAATCATTCTCTTTCTTTGTATCCTCCCTTGTCCCTCCCTCCCTCTCTCTCTCTTCCTTCCTTCCTTCCTTCCTTCCTTTCCTCTCTGTATATTTCCCTTTCTCTCTATTCTACTCCCCTCTTTGTTTCATGCCAATTAGGATAGTAAATAGGATGTCTGTCATTGTCTGTTGTCTAGAAATTCTAGGAAAACACTAACACTAATGCAAAAATTCTGGAAAACCCTTTACCTTTATAGGAGGACAGGCGGTGGATGAGCCCTCATTTTAGTTCTTTTGGATGCAAGCTGACCTATGTTCATCCAATTACCTCTGTCCAAGTTCAATAAGTAGACAGGTATTTTGAGGACGGGGTTATAATTCAGTCACCTAGTGGAAAATTTTTTGAGGCTAATTCTGTAAGTAATTGTTGACAGAGATAATTATTCATTGTGTCTGAAAGAATGGAAGAATGGAATCTCATTCCTCAGGTGAATGGCTGCCAATGAATTTAACTTTCTGATTCATCCTTTGTCTGTGAACAGCGGGAGAATTGGTAAAGACCCCAGGAAGGGGACAGTGGTGTGCATTATTAGTGACAATCCTCTACTTTGAAAGCTTATGATGTATGAGTTTCCTGTGGGTCCAGGCACAGATGGTTGACTTTGAGTTGTTTTTTCTTCAGCAGGGCACCTTCAGAGTAAGGGAATTGGTGGAAGAGCCTTGAAAGAATATGGCAGGTGGCAGAGCTGTGAGGTGCATAGGAGGATCAAGTCAGAACATTTTGCAGATGAACGCACACTACAATGAGGTGTCCCCACTGGTGGAGTCCTGGAGAATCTCAAACATGCTCCACAAGAGAGACATCTGTGACTTAGAGGGAGTTCATGGTGAGTCCCTGTCAGGAGTGAGAAGGTTATGATAACACCTCCTATGTTGGGAATGTCAGGGCTGTTCTATTTATCCTACTCCTCTATCCCATTCCAACCTAGTCAGACAAACAGAGACCAGGAGGAGTGGGGAAGGAACATTCTAGAAACTGACCACGTTTGTTTTATCTGCTATGTACCTTGGACCACAATAGAGGGAAAGTATTAAATAATGGAAGATGAGATGGTGTTGGAACTTGACTGGCTGGACTTATAAAACCCAGAGTGACTAGAACACATGGAGTATTCCCAAGATGATGTTAAGGAGATGGGAATGCAGTGGAGCATGGTTAAAGACAGCTGTTAGAGAAATCTAAAGCCATTTCATGTTTGTGTATTCAGACTCCTCCGTAAATCTCATGCTATTTAGGGGCACTGCAGTTGGAATAGAACTTGTATTGTCTGTCAAAACATTGTGAGCTCTCACAGAATGTGACTGGCTTTCATAAAGAGTTCTGAGAATTCATTCTTCTTTATAGCATAACTAGAATGATTACTAATAATCTAATGCTCTCTCATAATTTGACCCACATTAATTCACTGTGACTCTAATGTGGTTAATTGTCCTTTTTGCAAGGGTGATTGTGTTATTTGTGATAAATTCTGATAGCAACTTCTTAAGGGTGGTGATAGATTTTCTTCTGGCTTTCTATTAAATGAAGAGATCTGGCAAATTGACTTAAGATTTTAACAATGCTACAGAGTCAGTTTTTATTTTTTTTAAGAAGAGACACCTTATACCCTTACACCCAAGCATGCATTAAAAAGCCATAAAACTAGAAGAAGCTTTCCAAGGGCTGGATCCTGAAGAACCATCTCAGCAATAAGTGTAATGGATACAGGCTTAGCAGTTGCCATCATAAGCAATTTGGCACCTCAGGAACTTGAGATAATTGTCGACCTTGTGTGTATCCCTGCGCAGGCAGCGGAACATGTTATGATAAGCAAACAGGAGCGACTCTAAATCATCTGACTGCAGGGATGAAAGTCCCCACCAGACAGCGTAGTCTCCATTGTCTGTGATTTCAGGATCAACCTAGTCAACAAAAAGACAGTCACTCGTTATTCATAGTACTTGTTTTTGTATTATTTATATTTGTTTATTCCTGTTCCTTTCAACTGTCCAACCAAAGATTTGCAGAAGAGATATAAATATAAAACTTTAGCCAAAGGAATGAGTTTTCATGCATCCTTGCCAGGGTATCATAAATCTATAACTCATCTAAAAGCTAGATGTAGAGCACATGTATAATGTTTCTGATATGCAAGTGAAGTAGGTTTCTGAAGGAGTAGACAGGTGGTGAACCAGGAAGTTGCTGCTTGAGTATAGACATGGAATTGAAGAAGCCTCAGTAGGAGGTTAGCTTTTGTGTTCTCATTAGGAGCTTTTACATTCCCTGAAACTTGTCCGTCATGTCCCCTTTGTACCTTATTTCTACTGATAGTTCTCCATTTATCTCTTTATTGCTTTGAACTGAATCTATTCTGCATACAGCATCTGTACAAAAGCTTTAGAGATGACAAGGATTGCATCTGATGTTTTAAGGTGCAGAGGGTCCAATCAAGACTGACTAAGAAGGTCAGGAGTCTCTCATTCCACCCAGGAAAAGTACTTTCCAGTTTTCCATGAGAAGTAGCTGCTTACTTTTGAGCTCCCAGGGGAGGGAGTTGCTAGGGAAAGCACCTATGGGAAGGAGAGTTCTGGCAGCAGCCCTTCACAGTGAGGGTTGGGGTAGGGTTGGGCTGAGACTGATTTAGAAAAGTGTTGCACAGTTACAAAGAGGGAGTAGTGGGTTCCCATGCACCTTGTGGACCTCTGCAAGCTGGATATCCCCATAACCATCACTGTGTCTCTAACTATATCAACTGTTTTCAAGAGTTACTAGGTACAAATCTGCAGTAATTGTAGATCTTGAGCTGTTGAACTTTCTCCTACAGAGTAAGAATACTTCTAAAATCTGGGATTCTCTACTGAAAGTGTGTGTGTGTGTGTGTGTGTGTGTGTGTGTGTGTGTGTATCTGTTACCTAGCTTTCTGCTTTTTATTTATTTATTTATTTTTATTTTTTGGTGCTTGAGCCTTAAAACAAAATTTACTGTGAAAGGGGGGCTGGGGATTTAGCTCAGCGGCAAAAGCGACTGCCTGGCAAGTGCAAGGTCGTGAGTTCGGTTCCCGGTACCAGAGAAAAACCAAAAAAAAAAAAAAAATTTACTGTGAAAGATACCATGACATGAACAGAAATAAATGAGTAAGTGGTAGAAAACGGAAAATAAAGCATTATAGGGCAGATTAGTGACCTTCACAAGTCGGCTCATGGTAATGAAGAAAATGACTTGAAAAGTAAGGTGTTTATTTCTTGTGTTCCTGGGTTAATATGTTCTTTGTGTTGGAGATAGTCTTCTACCATGAAAATGACAAAAATGACACATGATAGCATATACTCAGGACACAAAAAGAGAAATACAAAATTGCTTCTGTTATTATTTCTATAATCATATATTTTTCTTTAGATAATCCATTGCCTCTGAGGACTTTAGAAAGCTGCCCAGCTGTTATTTCACTAATGTTGAAATTGTTCTATCTGAATGGAGATATATATTGAAAATATTAATTCAGCTTAGGTAAAACAACTATTTGGGAAGATTAAGTATAATGATATGAGTTTTGATTTAGGAACTCTATGCAAAAGAAATTTAGAATAACTTTCTATACAATATAAAATAAGGAACATTCCAGAAAAGACAGACTTCTTTTGTGACCCTCAGAAAGTAGTACTATGGGACAGCATCGATGCTGTAGCCTGCTCAGTTTCCCATGGGTAGGATTGGGGTGGTAAGATGGGGCGACCATCCGACCTGATTTTGATTTTTTTCCTCTCTTTCTTCCCATGCTAATCCTCTGGTGTGAGGAGATAAAGGAAAGAACCTATGCAGGTGTCCTGAGTTACATTTAAAGAATATTTCTGTTGCAGGTACTGTTGTCCAATTATCTTTCCCTGAGAAATGTGTAACCACCTATCCTCAGGAAGGGACCACTTTTTGGTGGCTTTGTGGACAGTTCAGGGGAGGTGGCTCCTGTCGGCACAGTCAAATTCTGAAGTGCACTGACAGCCTCTCCACTGTGGCTGGCTATGGCTCTTGCTTTGTTTAATAGCAGTCTACAAGATGGAACATTTAACCTAAAGGCTCCTGCAAAGGGAGGGATTTTGAAACATTTCCCACCATAAAAGGGCCTCTCTCATGAGAAAACCAAGAAAGCTCTAGGATGCTGCTCACCAGTTTGACTATCTCCTTTAGACCTTCTAGAAGGCGTTGGCTTTTTTCCTGAATCTGCAAGGCTTTTGCTATGAGAACATTGGAGGCTTTTGGCAGGCGATTGGCTTCCGTGATGAGGTGGTTCAGAGGTTCAGTCCAGGAGCGCACCAAGCGGATGACCAGGATGATAAAATCATTTTGCTAAGCAGCCCGGTTGCAGCAGTGACATTAAAATAAGTGAGATACAGCTGGATTAGTACATGTGACTATGCTCAGAGGTCGAAATCAAATATTTCTTTGTTATTCCTGCACATATGTAAAATTCTTCAGTAGATAGGAGACGTGGAAAGGTGAAATGTAAGCCATTGGCCTATACTTTGCTATCATAAAACTAACACACAACACTGATAGAAATAACCACTTTTTGTAATGAGGGTTCTAATCAATAACATTCAATTTTGTTTTCCCTCTGAAGTTCTATTTTTACTTAAAATCATGCTGAGACTGTTAATGGCAGGGAATCAGAAGCGAGGTGCAGTAATAATAAAAATGAGAGCTCAGAAAAATGATTAAGGCTTGATATGTAGACTTTGTTGTCACCCAAGCAGAGGCCAGGGTTGCATCTTTGAGAATCATGACATAATACCGTGCAGGACGCCCATGGGGTGACTTTGAGTTAAGACATAGGAGAAGGCAGAGGAGTGAGTAACGAGTGAAGAAGTAGGTATTAGAAGATAAGTAGAGCCCAGAGCGTCTTGAAGACTGGAAGAGATGGCTCAGATGAGGCAGGGCCCCGCAATGTAAATGGCTGCCAATGCTGGAACCAGTAAGAATCTATAGTAAATAGCACTGCATCTGCTCTTCTCGTACATACACACAGAAGTCTCTTTACCCATGGATGTCCAATTCAGTTCAAACTTTCCTACAGTATAATATATACAATCCTAGGCACAAGGCATTGGCTAAAGGAATGTTTACATGGACAATTTATGGGTCTGGTGCAGCCTTTATGTAGCATTTGAGTTTATGTACAGTTTATCAACTACGTAATGTAGTTTCCTCTGCTTATTCCTCCTCGATTTTTTTCTATAGTGTGACTACTGCTACCACACTGACCACAGTGCCTTCTAGAACCCCTGGCTTGGCAAAGCCAGTGCACTGCCTCAGTTGTTGTGGGGGAGCCTGGGCTGGTGACTCACGGGAATTTGCTGGGCCTGCTCCTTGTCCTCTGGAGTGGAGATGGATGCGGTGTGGCACATGCTGATGGCCTCGTCAAAGAACCCTGGGCCCTGGGAATACTGGGCATCCTGGAAATGATGAAGGAAATTGAATTAATTCAATTAGTTGTGGCTTGGGGATTGAGAACAATGAATCCATTACTAGAACAGTAATCCATCTGACGGATGTGTAATTTAAAGAAAAAAAAAAGAATGCGACATAAAAATTACAGCTGAAGAATTAATAAGGTAGCCCTTTGCTCATCTCCCCTCCATTAGCTTTGTAATCTCGCCATTTTCAAGTAATTTTCTAACCTCCCAACCTCTTCCTTCTTTGCTCTACTCTTGTTCTTTCATCCTTCCTATGAGTTACCACTTGGAAAGTGAACACTAAAAATAGCAAAACTGTGCAATTTTAAGTGTGTTCAGTATCATTTTTGCTCTAGTATTTGCGCCAGATGCCATGATGCATATGCATCCGTATTTGTCTATTAAATTTCTTATTTCCTGTGAGTCAAACTGATGTTCTTTCCTTAAATAGATAAGAATTTTAACTTTGCTCTCACTTACCTCTTACTGTATACACCTATGTCTTACCAAGTCCATCATAAATTCAAAATACAAAATTTTTTATTGTGACAAAATAAGTCGGAAAAACCAGAAACAAGCATTTTAAGAACTACTGAGTAATAATTTAGATTAAAAAGAAAAAAAAAAGCAAAAATTGTAGAATTTTAAAGGGACCTCTGGAAAGATTTTGAAGATAAAAAATAGCAAGCTGGAAATAGGGAATGAAAGATAGCCTAAGGAGTAAAAAGACCTGTATGAATATTGATACACATTTTTTTTTTTGAGACAGGGTGTCACTATGTAGTGCAGGCTGGACTTGAACTTGCTTATGTAGCCCAGACTGGCCTTGAACTCATGGTGATCATCCTGCCTCAGCCTTCTGAGTGCTGGGATTACAGGTGTGCACCACCATGGCCGGTTATGAATATATATTTATTATAGACACTGGACCACATTCTTTATGGAGATCCTTTATTGTACCAGGCCCTTATCTGTTGTCTGCTCCTTCACTGGCCTAGAAGAGATAACAACTTTCAAAGTACCTTCATCCAAGAGAGAACCTGTTTCTAAACCTTAGTCCTTCTGTTGTAATTACAAACTCACATGCTGTAAATCTTAGAAAAATGGTTGTTAGCATTTTGAGGTTGCTGAAAAAGCTATTAAGTTCCCCCTCTGACGTGAGTTCAGTTTAGTTTAATTCTATTCAGTCCTCCTTAAATCACTGCGATGCTGTTGGCATTTCTTGGATATCTGCAGCACCCTAAACAGGGTGCTTGTGGGTGGCCCACGTGAACAAGGAATCAGCACTCTTTTCCTGATCCACCTAAGAGCGATTTGTGTCAAGTGTTTACATTTTTAAAAATAAAGCAAATTAAGAGAAATTTTAATAATCACTACATTCATTGACGCTATGAAAGCTCATGAAACTTTCCCTCTGTCCTCATTCCACTTTTTACTGGGTGAAGCCACCTGTTAAGATACATGGATTGAAATCTGGTTGATAAGATTATCATGGTTAAAATGTAGTGCAGCCTAATCACTGGTGTGAAGGCTCCCTTTGGGAAAAGGCAAAAAGCGAGGCACTTACAAATTCCTGGACCACTTCTGAGGAGAGTTTATGGATGTAATGAGACAGAATGACGGCACGTCCGAACAGGTCTCGGAGGGACAGCCGGCAGCCGTTCCCGTTTGGACAGACTGTCTGGGAAGCCACATTCTTGCACAGGAGCAGGTTTGACATAAGCAGCAGCAGTAAAAGTGACCCTGCTTAAACAAAGAACATGAGCCACTTGAGATAATCTATTCAGAGAAGGTCTCAAAAGCAGGCATGCCTGGAAACAACTTATCTCTCCCTGCTGCCCTCTGCCCACGATTTGCTGCTTATTGTAATAGCTGGGGAAAGGAGGCATCAACACCTTCCACTGTGTGCATTTCCACTTGCACAGATCTATAGTTTGAGAGTTCTTGCTTTTTTGTGCTGGTTCCAGGACAAGCTTCTGGGATTTGCAAACATTTGGAGATTAAATTAATTCTGATCAGAGATGTTTAAGTCATTCTCTTAAAATAGTTTAATGTCTTGGGAATTTCTGTAGATTTTCAACCATCAGACTCTCTAGGAGTTTGTAATTTTTTTGACTCAAAGTCTGATATCTGCATTTTGGGCACTGATATAACAAGAATACCAGAGTTCATCTGTTTGTTTTATCTTCACTCTTGGTAAGAACAAAAACGTGACTGAGTAGTTGCTAATACTGAGAACAAGAAGAATCCTAACATAAAAATGATGCCCTGGCCTGGATCTGTGAACACCCATTGATAATCCTATGCATTTCCTGGACACTTTGTCAAAACTTTTAGCTTTTTTTTTTTTTTTTCTAAATTTAAGTTTTACAATGACCCTGAGAGACAGACTGGGCCTTCCTAATTAGCATCAAGTTATATTGATGAAACACAAGGCTTAGAGCCATTAAGTGATTTTCTTCAAGTCCTATTATTAGCAGGTGAGGGAGGATGAACCCCAGTGCTGTGGGCTGCGCACCTCACAGCATCACATGGTGCACACCGTGGGTTCTCAGGTTGCCCTTGTGCAGCCCGGACCACATCAGAGGTCCTGGGGCACGGTATTTGCAGCTGTTGCTACCATTACTTGTGAAAACATTTTTTTGACTGTAGGATAACAGTGGCCTTCAGAAGCTTGATTTTACCCACTTTCCCTGCTCTATAAAATTCCCCTACTAATATTCTTTGACAGCAATCAGAGGTGGTTTCATCAATTTACTGTATACGTACATGGAAAGATGCAGACCGGTAGCCTGTCAAGAATTTACACTTGCAAAACGAGAGAAATAACCACCAAACTAAAACCACTTTACCTTCAGTGACACTACTCCTGAAGAATTTCTGATGTGAAAATGTGATAGTCAGAAGATTAAGTTCCATAGAACCTTTGATAAATGCAACTGGAGATCTCCAACATAAAACTAAGCAAATATTAAAGATTTATATATTAATAAAACCTAAACACACATCCCTAAAAATCACTAAACATACCGAACATTTCTTACTGCAGAATGTAACTAAATCTTTTAGCTGCAAAATTTAAAATAATGTCAGATGATTCTTATTATAGGCTTTTATTCTTCCAAAAACATAATGATTCAAAAAATTTACTTTGTGCCTATCATCGTAACATGATGTGGCCAAATGGATATTTTATGTGCAGGTGTCAAGGAATTGTCTTTGAGACAGAGAAACTGGGACAACAGCTCTAGGAAAATTCATAGCTGGATAAATGTTCTTCCGTGCTGAGGACATTTATCTGTACATTTGTCATCTGAGGGATTTTCACAGCCTACGATAGACAAATGCTTTTGTTCTTTATTTTCATAAGCAAATTTTATGATTGTTACTAACTTATTTTTCTTGTAAATGTCACTAAGAAAGTAAAAGTGATTACTTGGGACTAACCCATTTTTTGTTTTGCAAAGTCATTTGGCTTGAAGCAAACTGACAGAGCAGTGCAAGACTCACACATTTGCTGTCATTGTCTGCATCATGGCTTCAGAATTAAAAGTTTCATCAGGTTGACTCAAATTGGCCAATTCACATGAGACCTGAGAATTAGAAAATGTTCATTTCTGCCTTCTGGAATTCTCACACATTGGACACATTGACTCTCATGGTTTTATTCTAGACCAGAGTTTCTTGATCTCTGCGTTATTGGCTTTTGAGCTGGATAATTTCTCAGTCTGTCCTGTGCACTTGACATGCTTTGTCTTTTTGAGACAGAGTTTTGCTATGCAGTTCAGGCTGGTCTTGAACTCACTTTGTAGCCCAGGCTGGCCTCGAACTCACAGTGATCCTCCTGTCTCAATCTCTGGAGTTCTGGGATTACAGGAGTGTGCCACCACGCCCGGCAGTCCTGTGCACTTGAGGATGCTTGTAGCACACTGCCCTCTAGTCAGACCCAATAACATCCGCTCTGTACCTCACTCACCTTGATTAAGATAATGCAGAAGGTCTCTGGCCATTACCAATTGCCATGGAGAAGGTAGAGTCCCCCATTTGAGAACCCCTGAACCATTCTATTGTACTCTGTGCAGTTACTCTCCAATAATTACATAGTTCTCAACCCTGCAAACTTGAGACATCTTGCTATTAGCTACAATTTCACATTAATCTCCCCACAGGAGTGTTCAAGCCAGCGACTCTCTGACTTGTTGGACATACCTTGTCCCTTGCTGTCCATGGCGATGATCAGAACTGGGAGCACCTTCACCACAGAAGGCCTGGCAGTCTCACGTCCACTTTCAGACACTGGCTTTATAAACCTTCGATATTTTCATGAATATATTTAACCAGGCATTCTCTTCCCCTTCCCCAGTCCTCTATTTCCGTCATTGAGATTACCCCCATAATTTCAAACATCAAATGGTATTTTATTTCTTATTCATATTCAGGAAGGCACACTGGCTAGAAATGAAGGATTTTGATTAATTAGACCAAAAGGAAATGAGGGAAATGATAAAGGTGAAATCTGGAGACCAGTTTGGGTTACAAGATCTGTAAAACTGGAGAAGTCACTTACTTTAAAATTTACTTATATTTCTTGGCAGTTTATTGAATATGTAGCATTGTATTTTACTTAGGAAATAGTGTCATGTACTATCAATTATAAATTTCTTGCTCAAGTTGCTAAGTGAATTAAAAGTTTCAAAATTTATATACTGCATACCAGAAGGTATAGAATAAGGACGGAAAAGAAGTAGGATTTTCAGTTTCCTATTATACTCTGAATTTCCCTCCTCTTTTTGCTTTTACATATTCTCTTTAGTCCTCTTTAAAATGAGATACGTATATAGTACTTTGTTTTATGACATGTATTTTCATCTGTTTAGTGTTCTGGATTTTAACATACATATAAATTTATATTATTATCCCAAGTTTGCAGACCAAGGAACAGGCCTGGAGAAGCTAAATACAGGTGATACAAAGAAGTAATTCTTCTGTGGTCACATTAGATGCAGGAAGAATTGTTGATTTAAAAGGAGTAGGTAAGGTTGGGAAGAAGGGAGGGAAATATATCATTTAACATATACTGATGTAACCTATGTCTAAGATTTGCAAGGTAGCACCACTGACCTCAGAGAATTTATTTTGGGGAAGCAACAGTTTGGAGGTCAATCTCTGTCTCTGTCTCTGTGTCTCTGTGTGTGTGTCCTTGTAGAGTATATAACAAACCAACTTTCTAGGCAATTATCTCCACTGTTTTGAAGGGTAGAGGTAGATAAACTACCATTAACTTGTTATCAGTCTGCCTTTTCTGACCTCAAGTCACTCTAGGAAAAGGTGACAAAATTCATTGTTCATAGACTCAAAAGTTCCATTCATTTCATAGAGATTGCCTAAGTGAAATGATTATAATGAATAAAAAGGAAATTGTGATGACTTTGTCTAATTTTTAGGTCCATGCATCTACAGTAGCTTGTGACCTTTAATTTCAATTTTACTGTCTCTGCTATTAAATGGATGGATGAGGTAATTTAAAAAATAATCTTTCCTTATGCCATTTTCTTTTTCCACAGTTGTTAGTACCACATATGTGGTGTAGCAATGATCTAACTAAATGCTTTTATGGAGATCTGGAAATCTTAAGCAAAACTAAAATACCTGAAAAATGTGCTCTTAATTGCCTTAAGTAATGCTAGCTTTTGAATCATAAACATTAAGTGTGATGATTTACTGTCTCTGTCCATCTAAAACCTGGGTTAAGATTCTCTCCACTTGTATTAGATATCTGCTTTTTTTCCCTGGACAATGAAAAGTTTGGATTATCAAGAAAAGAGAGCTTAATGCTGTTTTACATTCTCTTCCTCTAACAGAAATGTAAGAGTAGGAAAACCCGCCACAAGAACTGACATTGATAACTTACTCTGAAAATATAAAGGTACTACAACTTTTGTAGATAGCCAGGATAAGAATAATCTAAGAAAACCCGAGTTGTGTTTATTCAGTGCAGGTCAATCGATTTATTGGGCTGCAAAGAGGTAAAATTTATTGTGTGCTTCCTTGCAGCCTCACAGCCTCCCAGTTCTTGTGAGCAGAGTATTGCAATATTTAAATGATGCAAAAAGCATATTTTAGGCAAAAAGTCACAGTTGTCCTATTTTTCTACTATATATGTTACCACTTTCACCCGAATCCTTGTGTATGCTCTTTCGCAGGTCTTTTTCTTTATCAAACTGCAGCACCCTTACATTAGAACTACAAAGAAATGTACTAAGAATGGCTTCATCTGCTTTTATTTGGAAAACCCTATTTGTTTGCCATATTTGGTCTTATAGCGTATGATTAAAGTGAGAGCTGATGACTGATTTCTGTCTAGTAGCTGAATAAATAATCTCTAAGATGATGTTAAAGTTCTTGTGTTATTTTTAGTGTGTGAAACTAAGCAGCAATTTTGTCATCTTTACTGGAGGGCTCTGGTTTTTCACATTAACTGACATCACACGGGTTTTCATTCCTCGTTAGGAATAGAATGTGTATTTTATTTATGTTTTCTTTATTTACTTATTTTTAAATTTGGAGTAATTTTAATTTTTCTGTCATTCATGACACAACACACAGAAAAAGCATCACATGACTTGAGAAACATGTACTGGGAGACGTGGTGAAGATTGTTAAAGGGTAAAAGAAATTATAAAAAAGAAGATATAAAAAGTTTTTAAAATTATTATTCCAAGTATAGCTTAATCTATGTAGTAGTGAATTGTCTTTAATAAAGTTGAACTTTCAAATGATTTAAGGTATGTTGTTAATGGATTTAAAAATTACAAGTAATTATTTTTCATAACTTGGACTGAGAAGTCAGATAGAATATATGTCCATAACAGGCCTCAATCCACAGGTTAGACCAGTGAGGAGATTCTGCCAAGTGTGACATATATTTATGTCAGTTGTGCATTCTGGACCTGGGAAAATGACAGCAGGATGGATTCAGCGGTGCACTGCACCCACTGCAAGCCCCATCTTGGCTAAAACTCCATAGGTCACCTGACCTTCCTGGGCCCTACTCTTGCTGAAGAGCCATAACAATGTTTCAGATCTCCTGGAATCAGTTAATTTGGGTCCAGTGGTCCCTAAAATGTCTATTTCCTCTTCCCTGGTGTGCAGTTACCCTGGTCAAAGACTGTAGGTCCAATTGGGGAAGGATAGGAGGAAAATTAACAGTACAATTTTTTGGTAGTCCAAAAAGCTCCTTCCTCAAGAGATCCTGTCTTCCTTTCATTCAGGGGGCTCTAGGTCTATAAACTGGATCAAGTCCGTTGCTATGACTTGCGGTAGATTTTGGCTCATTTGCCACTGAATTTTTCTGCTTATATAGATTCAGAAAATATTTAGTAGTTTCCTATCTATTTCACTTCTGGGCAAACCATCATTAGCCAGTGCCATACGTCTAAATGAGTAGATCATCTCAATGACTGCTTTCGTTCTGTTGTCCCTTACCGTAAGTTCACCCCATGTCTTTCTGCAGTGGAGTGCTTCCACTTGGCCCTACCTCTCTGCGATCCAATTATACCCATTGCATTTGAGTAACTGTGGTCCTCACAATAAGTTCTGGTAAATGGAAAAGAGCGATGACAGCTTTACAAGGATGCTGGTGCTTCCCTCAGAAATCTAATTCTTAGGGTATTAATGAAGGGTACATTTATTTTCTATTCCCCTCTCCCCATTTGGATGAATAGATTTTACCAGGTAAATCTGCTCCAGGATTTCCATCCCCCTAGGGCTTTAAATTCCCTCAGCAGTAAGTCAGGGGAGATCAGGAATCTCCAGATCATTCCCAGTGGGTCATTTTTTGATTCATGTTTCATCCAACAAACCGAATGAATTATATTAATGCCTTAAACCATGCCTTACACCCAGAATCTGTGCTTAAAGGACTCATATCAAGAAATTCAGCCTGATCTAAATTTGTGCTCCATTCATTATTACCCCCAACCTTGAAATCCATTCCCAAATCTGCTCCTGGACTTAGGCTTGTAAGAATTAGGAAACTCAAGTTGGAAGTGTATACTTTCTTGTAGGTCCTGCTGTGTACCTCACTTCTAGGAGCGTATTGAGGCTTAGGTTATAGACCTAGATGAAAAAGTGGGTTGTAGGAATGGGTCCCAAGGAACACTGGTACTTTCTTGCTTGGTAACTGTATCAGAGAGAGACATTATCATTTTCCTAGGCAATGCAGGATTAATTTCCTCAAGCAGAAGTGGAGAGGTCAACACCACAGGGTTTGCGGGAAAAGATAGCTCTGCTGTCAATGTGCTAAGCTTCATTAGGTGTCTTCCAAAAGTCTTTGCCCCAGTTTACTGGATGCCATTCTTTTCTGTTCAGTGACCACACTTTAACTGCAGATGTGCTTGAAGGCTGAGTTAAGCTTGTGTTGTGATTCAGCTAATCACATGATGAATGTTTGTGTTTGATTTTTGACATGGGCAGTCCTATGGTCACCAGACGTAAGGTTTTCGTTCAGCACACATGTAGAAAACTTTAGGTTGCTTATACATGTCTGGAACTTAGATATTGAATCTTTGAGCACATTTTCCTTTATTACTTTTTCCAGAGGTGGCAGGAGAACCCACCAACATTATTATATTTCTCAGTCATCTAAAAATGTTTAACAGTATTATGTATAATCCCTAAATTCCTCATATCTCATAAGTGCTTAATTAGGAGTATCAGATGGATCTACACTGCACATTTCTTTAAGCAGTTTATACCACAGACTATCACAACTTTGTATAGACTATGGCAACTTTAGGTTTCATGGAATTAGAAAATCAACTCCAGAAACTACTAAATCAATTAGAGAAATTCATTCTTACAATTCTGTTTCATGTCTGGTACCAATATTTGTATTGGTGAGGGTTCTCTAGAGGTATCTGAAGTTGTGCAAGGGGATTTGTTATGTAGGTTGCCAGGACCAGAGACAGAGGGGTCCACGATGCCATCAGCACACTGGAGAGGACTGTAAGAGAGGCAGAGACTTAGTAACTGCTTTCCGCTGCTCAAGGAGCTGGAAGTCATAGAGCAAGAAAGATCAAGGAAGCAATATCAGTGCAAGATTGAAACTATGGACGCTTCCAGGAGAGTCACCTGTATGAGTCTGCATGACAGCCTGATATGCACAGGTGACAGTGGCAAGAAAACACATACCCACTCACACAGAATGGAGCTTCCAAAAACAATAACAACAACAAACACAAACATCAACTTCTTTCTTGTTTTCTTTTTATTCTATCCATGCTGTAAGCAGTGTCACCCACAATCAGGATGGTTCTTCCTTCCTCACTTTGCTGGCCTACATGCTAATAGTTTCTAGAAAAACCCCACAAGTGCACCCAGAAATACTTTGCTAATCTCTAGGTATTCCTTAATCCAGTGGAGTCGACATATTACAATCACTGATTACAATCATCATTAGAAAAATAGAAAGCATTGCCACCTTCCAACTTGTAAATAGGAAACACACACACACGAATACCAGACATAACAGAAGACTTAAGGAATACTAGACATTAACAAAAGAAGTGACACTAGACTTAACAAAAGATAAAAACAAAGGAAATATAAACAGCAAAAATATATAATTCAGGGTTAGAATTGATCAAACAGATGGCACAAATTTGTGTATTAAAAGAAAAAATGACTCATTTTCTCCAAGAATGGGAAGCCCAAATCACATGTGTGTGTGAAAGTGACACATCTCATCAGGGAGAAGAGACTTTTTTCCTTGCCCACCCTGGGTTTATGGCTGAGACTCCTCCAGCATAAAAGAGATCAAAAAGAGAAAACTATACAAAGGTAGCCAGTATAAATGTAACATGACGGGTCCACCTTCAGAAATGAAAACTCAAGAAACAGAAAGGTGTTTCTATGCTTAGGTGTAATGAGGAGTGAATGGTTGTGTATAAGTGAGTTTAGACAAAAGGGATATGGTAAGAAATGCTGGAGAACTCAGCAAGGTTTGATGGTGCTGGCTGTTGTTGCTCTTCTTCCTCTTCTTCCTCCTCTTTTTTACCTCTTCCCCTTCCACTTCTCCTTCTTCTTCCTCTGCTTTACCTACCCCCTCCCCCCCGCTCCTCTGCTGCTTCCTCTTCCCCTCTCCATCGTCTTCTTTTGTAGTTTTGTGGATTGAACTTGGGGCCTTTATACTGAACTACATTCCCAGCCCTTATTTATTTATTTATTTATTTATTTATTTATTTATTTATTTAGTTTGGTTTTTCTCCGGTACCGGGAACCGAACTCACGACCTTGCACTTGCCAGGCAGGCGCTTTGCCGCTGAGCTAAATCCCCAGCCCCTTTATTTACTTTTTAAAAGACATTGTCAGCCAGGTGGACGTGGTGGTGCACGCCTGTAATCCCAGCACTTGGGAAGGTGAGGCAGGAGGATCGTCGTGAGTTCGAGGCCAGCCTGGGCTACAAACCATACAACTGTATGGTGCGACCCTGTCTCAAAAAGATACACAGGCAGGGCTCAAACTTGTGACCTCCCGGAGCGCTCCAATTACAGGTACAGACATGTCCCACTGCACTCATCTTTCAGATTCTTCTTGGTATCTCTGTGTTTTAGAGGACAAGAATATTCTTTCTCTCCGGGTATAGAGAGGGCATCTCTGTAATCGTGGTTCGCATGGCATACTTTAGAGCAAGACCGAGAATTCTTTTATGACTTACTTTAAGGGAGAAAGATGGAAAAAGTTAGAGAACAGGACTTTGTGTTTCTGGGGTTTTCTCAAAAACCAAGGTAGCATATTGTAAGGTAGCATACCTTATATCCCATCAGCCTGAAACAGTGGTTTTCAACGGGCAGTTAGACTTGATTTTGTCTCTTTACACACTTTTGCCAGAGTCTGAAGACATTTTTGATGATTGTAATTGTAGGCAGAGGTGCTACTGGCATCTAGTATGCAGAAGCCAGATAGGCTCCTTCACATCCTGTAACACACTGAGCAGCACACTGCTTTTAAAACAGAACAGCAGTCATCAGAATATCAGTATTGCTGCTGTTCAGAAACCCTGATCTCAAATGAAGAGCCTGAAAAGGTCAAGATGTAAAAAATACATTAAGCCAACCATTTAAAATGTTTACTTTTGTAAGAGGCAAAACAGCTAATGTACAGTACCTTCTGATATGGTACATAATCAACACTGGTGATAAAGCCATCAGTAATCATTTTACATTCAATATTAGGATAAAAAACATAGAACATACATTTATAAAAGGCCAGGGGAAGTTAACCAAGATATAAGAGTAAGGGATGATACATGTGTACATATCTCAAGCGTCTGTGAAACACCTGCAATAAATATTAAAATTGGCCATGAGGAAACTGTAATGGTTTGCTAACAAATAGAGCATCAAACAACAATATCACATGAACAGTTGTTTTGTCTTATTATTTTTCTCCTGTGGTCATCGATGATTATTTAATTGCCAATCTTTGTAACACCCTAAGTACTTATGTTAACTCTTTTTTTTTTTTTTTTTTTCTGGTACCGGGAATCGAACTCACAACCTTGTGCTTGCCAGGCAGGCGCTGTGCTACTGAGCTAAACCCCCAGCCCTGCTTATGTTAACTCTTGTTGGCATATGCTCTCACTTGCTAACTTATTCAAGGTCACAACTTTACCTGTCATATCTGTGAAGACCACACCAACTCTTTCTGTCTTTCCCTATCTTCTCTTCTGAACTGCTGTCTAAACACTAGACTCTTTAACCTATATGCCATCAAGCAGGATAATGTTGAATTACTAAAGAGAAGCCTTAACTATTTGTCTTTTCTCTGCCACTAACAGCTTCTTCATTATCACTGCCCACACTTAACATCTCCGAGTCATGTTCGATTCCTTTCCTTTCATCTCGCTGCATCACATTCACCCAGATGGAATGTGCAATTATTCTGCCTCCATGATCTCCATAAAGTTCTCTTTCTTGGTTATCTCCACCTGGATATTTATAATTGATTCTCTTCCATTTTGTGCTGCTGAGGCCCAGTTCAATTTCAATCTGCTTATTCACTGAGACGATTAATCATCTTGAAGGACAGCAGCATTCAAGAGTTAGAGGAAGCATGGAATAAGCGGACCAAATATCACGCTTTGCAGATGAAGAAAAGGAGATAAAAACATTTAATCACCAAAAAGACGGCACTGGAATTTCAAGATTTTCCTCACTGTGCAGGTCGCAATTCTTCTTGCCTTCTTCCAACCTCATGCTTTTATGTCCATTCTGCTCCTAATGTGACCGAGGAGAAAAGTCTTGGTGAGCAGGTAAAGATATGATCTTGAAGACACGTTGAGAAATGTATGAGTACTTTAAGGGGGAAAAAGCCAAAATAATTGACCTCCTTGAGAGGGTGGAGAGAAATGGGAAAGTTTTAAACAACTTGGGGCCTATAAGGAAACATTGCCATGTCAAAGGTGATTTGAGTGTGATTCTCAATCATGTTATAGAAACAATACATTATTTGATCATTCTTTAATGAGTTATGTAGATAAGGAATGAGGAACTATTAATTTTTTTCTTCTTCAAAGTGGTCTTTGGTTTATCTGCCATTTTGGTCTCTAAGAATTTTTTTGCTAATATGAGTCTTGCAGATGTCATAAAATCTTCATTTAACTTTTTCACTTGTCATTTCTACATCATTAGCAGAATGAAAATCAGAATTTTTGCAGATCATGGAAAAGATAAAAGGTTATCTGTCGACTACTTGAAAGGAGCAATATTATTATTACCATTATAGGTTATGGTGGCATTTCATGTTCTCTCTTCTGCAAGTCATTTTGTAATCCTACCTTGTAGTTAACTTAATAAATGAGAAATGAGGTATTTCCTCCTGAAAAGGGCATCAGTTTCATACAGAAAGGGAGAGAATGAATACAGAAGCTACAGTTTCTGGTAATAGCTGCAGAATGAAAGATTCTCTTTACCTTAACTCCCTCTGAAAATAGAGATAATGTCCACTGGAATAGGTGAAAATCATAGATTACATATGTAGGGAAAAGATGTGAAATCGAGAACGCTTTCATGAGTGGTTTGTTTACAACTTCTTCTGTAAGAGTACATCAAGTAGATAAGAACATACATTTTATTTAAGAATATTTCTAAGTGTGTGAAATCACTATTCTGAAAATTTTTCTCTGCTTAAATGAAGTTTAATGATGAAATAATTATTCATGTAACTCTATCTAAATATAATTTTAACCCCAAATGTCAGAAGAGAAGGTTTTTTTCTTTTCAAGTAATTTCAGAGTATTCATCGCATTTGCCTATACAGGCCTCTGTGTTAGTTTTCCCTCACTAGAACAAATACCTGAGATAATCAAATTAAAAATGAAAGGTTTGTGTTGGCTTACACTTTTGGTGGTTTCTGCTTATAATTGACTTGGTCTCTCTGTTTTGGGTTTGTGGGGAGTTAGCACATTATGGCAGGAGTGATTGGAGGAACACACTGTTTATTTCTGTAAAGTGAAGAAGGAGAAGGAAGAGGAGAGGGAGAAGGAGGAGAAGAAGAAGGAGAAGGAGAAAGAGGAGAAGGAGAAGGAGAAGGAGAAGGAGAAGGAGAAGGAGAAG